AGTTCCCCTCAAGAATGCTGGAAAATCAGGGTGATTGATTTTGGAAACAGTCTGTATATGAACCTCTTCTCTTCAGATATGTCACTTTGCATGTAAGGAAACTCAATGATAAGAGAGGCAAAATATTGATACTACTCACCAGTAGGATACATACACTTTACTTTAAAGTGGAAAGTGTGCAGCCCTCCAAATGTTAAGAATTGTGGTTCCCAATGCTGCTCACCATGGTCTATGCTGGCTAGAGCAGCTGGGACTTGCAGTTCAAAACAACTCCCTCCCTTTAACTGAAATTATCAATTTCAGTTCAACAACAACTTGAGGGCTGCACAATTCTCATTCCTACTGTAATGGTTTAGAGAAGAGCTGGCATTCAAAAAAAGTTCTGAAGCAAAGACCCAACAGCATCCACTTGAATCCACTCCCTTTATTTAATGGCTACTAATCAGCACTAGCATGAGAAAGGAATGTTGGTCTTACCTGATGTATGTCCATTTCCAGCAGAGAGGGTTCGATCCTCCCATTTGCTCCTAGAGGCAGGGGAAAAAAACACAAACAAAAGACCTCCCTGCTCCCCAAGTGGGAGGGGCAACCCCAGAAAGGTCAGTTGTTAACCAGCCAAGGAAAAGCTGGACCGAGGGTGAAGAACAAAACCCCTCCCGTTAGTTTGTGGGAAGGAATGAGGGGGGAAAGGGGAGAAAAGCAAAAAAGGGAGAGAAGTGATTGAAAAAAAGTCTCAGCCTCTGCCTGTAACATATGGTCCGGGGTTCCCACAGCAGCACTGCAAAAGGTGGGCAGGAGGACTGAACCCTCTCAGCTGGAAATGAACATACATCAGGTAAGAGCAATGTTCCTTTTCCCAATGGAGAGGGTGAGATCCTCCTTAGATTGGAATTAAATAAGGGGAGAGTGCTGTGCTCCAGACAGGGAACCCAGGAGCACCTGTTAAAGAACCTCCTGCCAAACGCGGCCTCAGCCGACTGGTAGAGGACTAATTAGTAGTGTCTAACAAAAGTGGAAGGCCATCCTGCAAATTTCTATCATGGGGGAAGAGGTGGCCCATGCTGTGGAGGTAACTGCGCTTTTGGTGGAGTGAGCCAAGGACCAATAACAAGTTGGCAATGCAGTCTCTAATTCATTTGGCTAGCGTAGATGGGGATACCTTTTTTCCCCATTGACCTCTGGTTGAAAGAGATGATTTGAGACAACTGAGACAAATGCTGACTGCCCTGTGGACGTCTAGGGTATGCCAAATCTTCTCTAGCTCTTTCTTCAGCTGAGGACAGATGAAGGGTAAAATCACATCCTGAGCTAGATAAAAAGGAGAGCTGATCTTTGAGACAAATGAAGAATCTGTGTGTAGCACAACCAAGTCTGGTCAAATGATGCATAAGTCTTTGCGAACTGACAGGGCCCCCAGCTCAGAGATCTAGCGGGCCAAGGTGATGCTGCTCAGAAGGAGCAACTTCCACAAAAGGTGCCTCAG